TAAAATAGCTTCAGGATAAACAAAGCAAGGATAAAGGATTTTGATTTAGAAGATACACAAGTGCCTGACTTTTCTTCCAGTTACTTCTGGGAATAGTCATGAGAAGAACTTTTCTCTGGAGGGTATCAGCTCGTCTTCTTGTAGTAGTGCAGAAGTGAAACAGATATTTTCAGACATTAAAAAAATTCCATGGTACACGAATTAGGGGAAGGTTTTGAGGCAGGTTCCAGAATGTTGTGTCTTCTTCTCATCTCTGGTAAGTTTAGGCACACAAAGAAGACATTTGCAGATAATAAAAGTGGAGCATGTCACAATGTTTTACAGATTTTTAGAGGATATGGAGTAACGCATGTTTCGATATACATCTGTGCAAAAAGATCTACAATTCCTGAGCCTTCATAAATTTGCTTTGGCTTATGGTACTTCAGATAACACAGGACATAGAACATTTCTGCCACATTTACAGAGCTGTGTTTAAGACACTGGTCTCAACAGCCCTTATCTGCTCTTGGGCTGGTTTTTGGGAGGAGTAATACAGACCAGAGAATCTGTTCAGGTAATTTTATTTTTTCTGTTTTCATCTTCTCTTCCAGCTTGCTTTCCCCACATGCTGTAGCACCATGAGAACTGCAGTTGCAAGATAAATTAGGGCAATGCATGCTCTGGTTTCAGGCCAGCAACATGGATTGAGAATAGCCGTATGTTGAAACTGTCGGGAAAGAGGGAGCACTGAGGGCTGTTTGGTGACGCACTGACTGACACCTTCGGAGAGAGATGACCTGGCTGGGTTACAGGATTCTGTCTCTGTCCTGTAACAGGGAACACATGGAGGCAGCTCTCTTTTCTGGGCAGAGTGCAGATAGCAATAAAATGCTGTGTAGGATGTAACAGCATTTCTCTTACTTTGTATTGTAGTGATGATGGTTTCATCCAAATTTCAAACATTTTCAGAAACTCCCAGAGCACAAAGTTCAAGTGAAAGGAGAGATTGCTTTTAAATGTCTTACTTTATTGGGGAATTTGTTACAGACAGAGCTGGGCTTTAGTCTGTAGACCAACAGAAAACAGGAGAAAGCTTCACACAGCAGTGATGATTTAGAACTTAGTTTTTTAATGAGGCTTCCCAAGTGCTGAATGTACGTTCCGTCTCATGACGAACATCAGATCTGTTCCATAAATTCGATCAAGATGCAGAGTTTATGTTACAGTGAGTTTAGAGGCAATACGGGCTCCGTGTATCCTTGCTTCTCCTTCCTCCCTCCTCAGACTGCACTGTGGAGGGACTCATGGCCAGAATTTGATGGCAGGAACAAGTAGGCAGGGATGGGAAAGAGGCAAGGATACTTTGTTCCCAAATGCTTTGTTGGGTTAAACCACGAATCTGAGGCAGAACACAGGCCTACTGACTTGTGGCCTTGAATTCATGGTCTTGATATTCTTCAAGCCTGCAGGAAGCAATGGGAATGAAGTCAGTCGTTGGTCGTCGTGAGGTCAGAGCTAAAACCAAAAAAACTGCAACAAGCCACGTCTGTGGTTCAGAAGTACTCAGTCAGTGGGCTGATGGGTACAGTTGTGCTCTCTTTGGTGATGAAGCTGGTTTATGTATTTCCGTACCATCCCGTCAGCTGTTTGTGGGGATGCACTGTTGCACTAATGCCAGAGATGGCTGTGTGGCTGTGCCCAGCAGTATTGCCAAGCCAACCATACAGAGTTGTCCATAACCTGAAAATACACGTATGCTGCTTCTTGTTTTATTGTGAGCTGGCAGCAGTTCTAGCTCCAGCTTAGTTTTGCTGCTTCATGGGCTTAGTTGCTTTTCAGTAAGCAGAGATTTTTGGATAGTCCCAATGTGTCGAGAGCTGTTGTAGCAAGTTGAACTGTGAGTTGATCATGCTCTGCAAATTCTGGAGTGTCTCCTTGGTAGACAGGTCCTCACGCTTCTTTGTGCTCTACACTGACTTTAGTCTGCGTGTCAAGTGTGGGAGCAGCCTTTATCTTCCCAAGATTGGACAGTCTGTAGTCAACACATATGAAAGTTCTGACAGTTATCAGCCTCTGTTAAAGAACAAATGTTAAAGCTATCATGTAGAAGTTACACATGCCTGAGGTAGCTTTCTTCAGGGGAGATCTGACATATAGACCTGGCTTCTTCCAGAAATTAAGGGATATTAAAAATTTCCACTTTTTCTGCATGAAGTGCAGGAAGCTTCTCTTGGACCTTGCCTCATACAACAAAGAGGAGACAAGCAGGAAGGTAGTAATTACAGCACAGAGAAGGACAGTGCTGCTAACTGTGTTTCTGTCCATATTCCGTTATCTGTCAACGTCAAGCATGAAACACATGCAGCAGATGTGAGTCGAGTAGCCACTCATACTCCAAGGAAAGCACTATGGTGACAGTGACAAGAACGGTACACAAACTAGCGCAGACAAGCAGTTACTGCAGAGAGCAGGAAGGACAACTTCTAGTTTTATCCCAGACCTAGAGGAAGACAGGCAGGATTTCTGCTGCAGGTGGGTGGGATGGTACAGTCGTGTTGCTGCACTTAACATATGTCCACAGAATGCAAGCTGGTTTGGGTTGTTGTGGCTGTGTTGCAACAGGAATGGCTTGGGATAGGGTTGTTACAGCAAAAAGCTGTAAGGTTGTGAAAATACATATTCCATACTGAAAAATGATAATGTTAAGAAAACAATAATAAAAAATAAATCAATGAGAATGTCTGAAGTCAGGTTCTATAGTAGCCAGTATATACTGGCTCATTGAACAACCTTTACTGCCATCTGTGTGTGTGCATGTGCAGTATGAAATACAATGAATTTTTGTTTTTTCTCCTGCTCCATACAGCTTGGATGGAGAGCTGAATTTTAACATGCAAACATTGCTGGGGAAGCTTGACAAATGAAGTCACTACTAATATACTTAATTTTTTATATGATTGCCTGACCCTTCTTAAGGTGTAAATTTGACACAATAGTCCAATGACTAATTAGCCTGCCCTATAAAATCAGAGTCTGCAGTGAAGATGGTTAATTCTTCCTGCTTCCAAATGGATTAAAAAACACAGTAGGAAAAGATGGTCAAATAATCAAGACTTTCAGAGTATCCAGGGAAGATCGAATCCTGTGGAGTGAAAAGGAATGGGCAAAGATTTCTAATGGTGCTTTGATTCCTTGAGCAGCAGGAAGAAAGCCACATCTACCGATTTCCTGGTGTAGCCTCTGTATAGACATTCC